CTCTGCAGTTCTTCACTCTCCCAAAACTTCATATATAGTTTTATGAGTCTGAATTTGCAGGTATCGTGCAATATTTTATGAATCACTCAATCAAACAATATGCTTTGAGAAGTAGGTCTTGCTATACTTAACCCACTTATAATGTTAGAACTTGGATCAAAAGCACACTTTTCCAGGTCGGTGTGAAGGTCACCAATCAACAATCCCTGGCAGGTGTGAAGTACTGTGAAGTGAAGTGGATGAGGGTGTTGTTGACTGCGGACCCTCTCTGGGCTGGCCTGTTCTCTGAGCTGCTGGCATTCCCTGTAGAAGCCACCTGTCAAAACATTATTACTATCTATCTATCCCATTTAAAGCTAGCTGGTTTAATTTTTTATTAAGTTAGCTTGCTTTAGCTAGCTAGATAGCTAGCCAGCTAGCTAGCTATAAGGCCTCAGAGCCCGGGTGACAAAGATTTTGCTTTGGTGCCCTCCAGGTGAATGCTGAATGTTAAAAATGTTATTTTCCAGGGCTTCTGTCAGTCAGCATTTTTTCCCTCGCTTGTAGCATCTCTGTCTGTGTGTCTGTTTGTCTTATTTTTTATTTTTTTTAATCTGTTTACACTCTCTAAATAAATGAGAGCCATATACTTTGTGTCACGGAACAGCTGAACTGAATATGAATGTAGTTATTTAATGGACAAAAACAAATCAGTCTGACCTCTTGCTTTAGTGCTAAACTGATGTTTAAATGTAATGATAAGGAAATGGACATTTTGGCCGATAGACTCTGGCGCAGAGCTCTGAAAGGCAAAACAAACAGCGTGAACACAAAACATCCAGGTGCTAATTCAGCAAACATGTCAGTCCTATTTCTCCTAGGCCACAGAATTTGTCAGAAAATCATCCCTACTCGCTCTTTCTGCCGGAATGCCTGACTGACCCCCGGCAAATGAAAATAATCCACAGTAATTAGAAGTGGGCTGGTCTGGTCCTGAGAGCCCCCGGGAGGCCGGGTAAACATGGCGGAGGGGCCAGTGGAAGGGGAAGGGGGTGAGCTGACCTTGTCCACATAAAGCAGTGATTTATGAAGTGCAGGGCACAGCAGCAGGGCTTCTGTCTTCTGCTGCAGAACCAAATTACTGAGGTGGAGATTAACACGCTGCTCACGACAGGCCTATTTCCAGGCCCAGCGAATTTTTGGTATTTACATTTTCCACTTTCATTTCCTCCACTCTGTCTTAATGGTAATTGGTATGGACCGATTGGACACAGGGTCTATCTAAAGGAGTAGGATTATTCCGCTGTACACTAATCTTGGGTCAAGGATTTTTAGGTTAGAGGTAAAGTTGATGTGCCTTGTTTTAAGATTTGTGTATCAGCGGCTTTTCATCCCATCTCTGGGAGGTCTTCCCAATGAATGGCGGATCATTTAATGTGGATTTGGCTGCAACGTCGACTTTCTCTCCTTTTCCTAATGGTGCCCTCCAATGATGGAATGTGCCACACAGGCCTCTGCTGTGTCTCCATGTAGCCCCCTCAGCTGCAGCGTGGAGCTGTCTGTACGGCTGGAGTGGCTGCAACCCACACGGGAATCCCCCCTCTTCAGTCCTATTATGACTTACAAAGAGCCAGAGCCCAGCAGCAAAAGTCCAAATCTGCTGCATCAAAAACAGAAAAGAAAATCATATGATCAATGAAGCTCAACCTCGGCTCAATTCAAAATAAGACATTTCACCATCAAGCTTGTCTGCATTCATGCATGAATATTTTTTTTTCCATGTCTGAACTCTTAAAACAAACAAGAATGCCGCGAGACAATTTCACAGTGCTCAAGAGCCGCACCACTAAACATGATTTGAACACTTATGAGATTAGAAATAGGTATGAAAATGCTGTGTTGTATATAGTTGGAAGAAATATAGCCTGAATTTTGCATGTGTTGGGTTTGTAATATGTTGACAAGCAGCTTTCCACCAGGGCAAAATCTTTACCTCAAAGCCAAATCAAATAATTCTGATCAAGCAGATCAATTTCCTCCGTGCACATCACAATACGGCTCAAATAAATGCAAATTAAAGCTATATGCATCGCAATTCTTTCCAGGTTTGTTAACACTGTTTGAACAAACTGTCACCCATCTTTACACAGCTGTTTCAAGCGTTTTAGAGGAGCACGTTCATGGCATTATCCATTCAGGTCCATACAGTTGAATTTCAAGGGCAAGTTACTTTGAATCATGAAGCGGATTATACTGAATGACTGCAATAATTTAAGACTAAACACTGAGTTTTATAGTTAGTTCACATCTTTAATTTTGTTTGAAATGCCATTTCTGCTGTCCAATGTTCCATTCTGAGCAATTGGAAGTTCACTTCAGTAGAGCACGCCATCTCCTGGCGGGGGAAAGTAATGACGCGTGTACCAATGTAGTCGGCATTCGGGGGTCCTGCTACACTGTTACCCACGTTTACCCCCCACAAATCGGGAGCGTGCGTCGTTCCTTTTCCATACAGATTCAGAATGCTGGATCAGACGCGAAAAGGCTATGAAGCCTTCTCAGATTACTTGTATTTAATAAACAATGCATCATAAAACAAATCCCTCATCCTGACAGGAAGAAAATAGAACAGCTCATTCGGCTTGAGCTTTCCCAATTTATGGCTAAATTAAAAGGGCTTCCAACAATGGACAAGTCGAGGAGAGGCAGGAAATCAATGACCGGGCGGACCGGGGTCTCTGCTGGGTTCTCAGGGAGCGCAAAACGATGGGAATCGGTGGCGGGGTCCTGCCTTATTTACACATGATTTTTCCTGTCCTTCCTGCACATTTGCTGCGCGATTTGCCAAAACAATGGCTATTATCTCGGATGGAAGGTCAATGTCACAGAGTTGAGGCATTATCCATCATCATCTGCTCTCATCAGCCAAGGCTGCAGCCCTCCTCAGCTTTATGAGCTGCTTAATAAACTCGCCTCACTGACAACAGTCGCCTCTCTTTATTCTTTGCACTTTCGAGATTCAAACGGCATGTCCCAACCTGTCTTTTGTACAATCACACTAATTCTTGAATCCGCTTCTTGCGTGACACTTCGCTGCGCAGGTGTGCTGACGCGCTTTGCGCCACATTCCGAATAATTAAAGAAAAAAAAAGAAAAAAAAAGAAACAAAGCTAACGAAAGCCGACAAAATAATCGTTAGGTCACCATTGTAACGAAACGCCTCAAGAAGTGACATCGAGTGTTGTAGACAAGTTTGGAGAAGATATGAACAATGGCTCCCTTTGAAGCTTCTGTTGGTTCATTAAAGTGTGCCGGGCCAGTTCATCCCTTTAGAAGCCCCATCTCGACCTGTCTCTGACCCTGTTCAACCTTTGCGACCCAGGGCCCAATTTACTGCGGAGAGGAGCCGCTTCCGCCGGACAGTTACTTAGAATGGGGCCGAAAGGATGGATGTCGCTTTTGCGTAAAACAAAGAGAGAGAGAGAGAGAGAGAGAGAGAGAGAGAGAGAGAGAGAGAGACATCCACAGAAGAAAAGAAGAACTTTTAAAACGCTGCCTTTATCTTATAATTGATACATTACAATAAGAGGAGGAGGTGGGTGTGTGTCTGCGAGAGGCGGGGGGGAGGGGGGACACCTGGGTGCGTCGGGACAGGAGGAGTGACAAGAGAGGAGCAGACGAGTCGCGCACAGTGAAAAGTTGGAAGCAAGTTGATGTACCGGAGGGAATTGCAGCCGGGACGTCTCCCGGCCACCGCGAACAGAAGGGAGATGCATACCAGTTAGACGGGTCCGTGAAGGCAACGCGGTGATGAGAGGACTGGAGTTGAGAAAGCACGCGGTGTGTGGCGGGCAGTGAAGTGTGCGCGCACCCGAGAGGAGTCTGTCGAACACTCACTCATCCGGCGTCTTGGAGAGCCTGATAAAAACTTTTGCCGTATATTTTTGGTGACAATTAAAATGGACGGGGCTGATTTCATGAAAAAATATAACCAAAATAGAATCCCAAGATCGAGCGATCTTTGAAGCGGAGTTCCATCACTTTTGCTCACTTCACCACCCGCACTTTCTTGAACGGCACGCCGACATCAACATTCAACGGTAAGAATGTAAACCGACTTAAACGAAAAAAATATTATATGCTCTATTAACGCCTCGCCTATATATATATATATATATATATATATATTTTTTTTTTTTAAGTGTGTTTATTGTTAGTGTGTTTATTGTTGCTGTCAGGGCGAATTCAGTCCGACTTAAATTGTTCAAGACGTGAAAACAATGCTGGAGCGCCAGACAAAAGGACTCACTCAACCCTAAAAAATGTATCCTTCTTTTATGTTAACGCATTTTCGTGCCTTGGATAGTGTTGTTGTTTTTTGTTTGTTTGTTTTTCATCCTGCTTGGATACAAATCTGTGTGAATTATTTCAAATGATTTATGCTCCGAGGAAGGAAGCAAGAAAGAAAAATAAATAATACCTTTTTTTAAAACGACATTACAATGTGCATGCTAAACACGGTGTCCACATTTTGTTGTATTGTTTCATGTTCGAAATATTTTTCATTGTTGATTTTTATAATGCATAATTTCCTTTTCGTGTCAAGAAATTCATGAGCCAGGCGTCACAGGGCCGACCTAACTGTTGTTCCTTGAGTTTAAATTGCTGCTGTTAATTGATGTGTCTTTCGTTAAAGATGTTGTGTAAGCTGTAAAAATCTGCTTTTTTTAATCACTTTTGTGTCTCTAAATCAATGAATCCGTTGTATGTTTCATAACTGTATCTGTCTATTATTTTTCCCAGCCCACATTATTATTATTATTATTATTGTTATTATTATTATTATATATATCCCCCCCACCCCTGTTTAGACGTTGAAAATATTTCAAAATAGGTCTTTGGCATGGATGTCAATTTCCACAGTGACTCCCAACATTAGAGCCTTATTTCTCAGTGGAAGGTATTGTTGGTACATAGTCACCTGGACTGATGTTGATCTCTACTTGTCTCTGTCTCCTCAGATCTTGGATGGGTCAGGCCATGTGAAATATTGTGTTGATGCCAGTAAGCCAGATATCGGGAGCTGGCTGAAGTACATCCAGTTTGCCCCCACTGCCAAGCAGCATAACCTGACAGCCTGCCAGATCGATGATCAGGTAAGTGGAGACATATGCAGCTTGTCCTGGAGAAATGCAGACTGGATTTTCTGATGAGAAATGGGGGGGAGGTGTTATTATTTTGAATTCCCAAATGATGATTGTGCCCATGGACGAATCCCACTTAGTGGTTAAATGAAGTACAATTGTAATCACGCTACATTTTTAGCATCTTTTTCAACTGTCGGATGAAAGTCTTGCTGTATTTTCACCTCTCCGTCCTGCTTGTTGTTGTTGTCTTAAAAAGGTGTTATTGTGATTCAAGTCAGATAGTCCCATGTGCGACTGCGTGGCCCACCCTGCTCTCACTTCTCTCACACACGCACACACACAATGCGGTGTACTGCAGACACTCTACGTTATCAGCATGTGTTTTCATTCTGTAATTGTGTGCTGGCTTCTGCCGTGCGAGGACCACAGGGCAGGATCAGAGGCGGCCTGTCGAGATGATATTTCCCCACACTTCCCTGTCACGCTGGCGATATAAACTCTTAGATATGTCAGGAATGTCACCGTCTTTTGCTGCTCACCTGGCTGTGGCCAGAGGTGCGTGCTGCCCACATGGGGGTCTGTTCACCTCACTAATCCCACTCAGTCATCCCTTCATAGAAGGTGGTGGACAAGAGACTAAACTTTACTTGACACGCGTGTAGCACATTCCATGGCGTGACCCGTGCAAAAAAAAAAAAAAAAAATGGAATTTAAGCCCCATGCCTGTCATTACCTCTCAGTGAGGAGTCACTAAAGAGAGGGAAAAATTGTCTGTAAGGAAAGGATGAACAGTAAGTAGATCACAAAGTGAGTCACGGTGTTATGAAAAAGTCATAGGCCACCTTTTCACAACAGTGGTTTTGATGGCAAAAATGGAAATGCGAATCCCGATGCAGGAAGCAAGATTACGCTTAAAATACATTTATTTTATTTATGTATTTATTTATTTATTTTTACATAACTGTGCAGCTGTGTTGAGCCCATTGAAGTTTAGTGGTCTGGATCAAGATGTGGATTTTGAAACATTGCACTTTTCAGAATCCAAATGATGGCACCCACCTCTCTGCTCCAAGAACCAAGAAAATGCAAACAAACAAACAAATCTCTCAGATTTTTTTTTTCCTTTGGTATGGCTGTGTTGGAGATGATCTCTGGTCATTTGAGCAATGGTCAGGGTGGATCCGCAGAGTCCTGTAACAAAATTGAAAGGAAAAGGATGTGTCAGGTATGCTTGGTATAATGGAGCCTTTAGGTGAACAACTGAAAAGGACTTTCCTGAACAAATCAGCGACTCCTCTGTCACCCCTCTTCTCACTTTTCTTAAGAGGATAAGTATCCCTCGAGGTCGCCCCCCCTGTTCTCTTGAAAGACACCAAACGTCTGGAATCACTTGGCCTCTGTGTTTTCAAAGTGACAGGGAGACAAACAAGCAGAGAGAACCGTGCGCGAGGTGTGACTTGCTGTCAACACGGTGGTTCTGCTCTGGTGCTTGTGTAAGGTTCCGACAGGTCTCGGACATGGCTGTGATGAGGTGATTGTTAACTATTACACACTGTCACAGCGCAGTACAATGTGCCGTCTTTAAGCCTTCCGGCCAGCATTGATGTTTTTGAAAACACACTGTAGCGGCTCACAATGCCTGTCTGTGTGCTCAAATTGAATAGACTAAATGTGGGGTGGTCTTGCAAAGCCCCTGTCATTTTTTGCTACCGCGTGCGCTCATGAGGGCTTTTTGATTGTGCTTTTTCAGTCTCCGTTCACACATTCCGGTTTGAGTGTGTGTGCAAAGTGTGGCTCGTTGCATCTGTGGCAATGCGCACGTGTGCCGGTGTATCCGAGCATCTACGTTAAGACTGGAAATGGTTCATTCGGGGCAAACGGGAACTTGTGCCTTACCTGAGTCCCAACAGGTTTTTTTTTACAACCGCAGAGAAGTGCTGAGTATGAACTCAGCTTGAAAACACACGCACACATGCTCCACCAGACGAAACAGAGTGGGCTCCCTCAAGTGTAAACTGCAGCAAAACCTCTTCTGAGAAGTGGATTTAAACCAATCCAGTGCAGTACTTTTAACGGAGATGATTTGCCGCGTGATTTATATGACGGCAATGTCATACAACCTCAGCAATTTCCAGGTGTGTTGGTCATTATGGCTCACTCGTAAGCTCCAATTCAGCCCTTCCAATGTGAAAGTAAAACTGGCCTCCATCCTCTTATTTCTGACCCAGTTCTGTTTACCATAAAACTTTATGAGCAAATCTCAGAGGGGGTGAGTGTGTGAGTGAGGAAGGAATGAGTAAGGAGAGAAGGGGAAATAGCGTGTTTTGTCTCGTTGGAGAAACAGTTTTTTTTTTCCCTTTCACACTCTTCACTTCATGCTATAATGAATCGGTTGTGTTAAATCCTCTTCAGAGGACTTTGAAAAACACTCTATTTCATCATCATCAGCAACACTCGAACATTCTACAGCATAAGATGATGACCTAAACAAAACCTACCTGTGCAAAATAATTTGTACAAATTCAGAGAGGAATAAATGCAAAGATTGTAGTTTTATAACTGAGGTGAAATGGCAAGCATTCTGAGAATCAAGGTTCTCGAATCCTGTCTCAAAACTAATGATGAAATTACAAATGCCTTACAATAGCGCTCAGTGCTAATTAAGGAGGCCATTGGACAAAATGTGTATGATTAAATGTGGAAAAATGTATTAATTTTCAAAACTAGTCTTTTTTTCCCACAAAAATTGTCTGACTAAATCAATTCCACTTGTTGGTTTAAGACAAGTAAGGCACAAAACTTTGCATGCGTGAATTTCATCAAGATGAACAACAAATACTGAATTCTTAACAATCAGTTATGTCATTATTATTTTGCCTATCCATGATGCAAATGGGCTGTCACTTATAGAGCGCTTTTCTGCCTCGGGTACTCAAAGCGTTTTGCACTGATACCACATTCACCGACTGATTACGCAGCATCAGGAGCAACTGGGGGCGGGGGGGGGGGGTTCAAGAAGTAGCTCAAGGACACTTCGACATGGTCGCAATGGCCAGGGATCGAACCACCAACCTCTGGAAACTATTTTTGAATCCCTTTATTTCAATTGGAATTGAACAGAAATGAGTTAGCCACTGAATTCTGAAGTTCACTCAATATTATCGTCACGCCACATAAAAGACTACTGGAGACTTTTTTTTTTCTCGACAAAATAGTAACATTCTTTAACTTTTACAGTAAGAGCAACGATGAACGGGCATGCTAATTAATCTTTATCATTAACCTTTCACATCCTGTGTGCGTTCAGTGACAGCCCTTTTCCATTCTACCCCGTAATGCCGGCACTCTCTTGATGTTCCCGTTGCTTTGCTGATGCATCAAACAAGGCAGTCTGCAGAAAAACTCCCCAACCATTGTGGTTTGTCATTAAGATAATGTGGGTAATTAGTGCTTAAAAAGCTCGTGCCGGCTGTCCTCGGTCTACAGACAGAACTGGGTGGCAAGTGGATTATTAATGTAATTATCATCATCCGCCTTGTTGAAGAACATTTCACAAGACACTACAAAGACATATAAATGTCAGTGTGTACTCTCTGACCAACATGGGTGCTTTCCTTAAGCCCATCTCACACCTAGTCTTGTACGTTTGGCATCAAAAGAACAGGACACATCCCTTTCTCTGGCAGGCTTAGAAAAGTAGGCCCGGTTTTCCAACTTGCTTGCAATGCACACGTGTCGTAAAATTACTGTCATGTGGTTGCTCCTTGCCAGTTATTTAGGATGATGGGAGTTGTGTCCATCTATATGTAGCCTGCGATTGATTGACTGGAAACCAGTCCACAGTATACAGTAAACTGCCTCATGCTCAAAGCAAGGCTCCAGCTCGCCCGCGATCGTACTGACGTTAAAGTTCGACATGGTTCGAATGGCCCAGTCTGAGTCTGCCCTTTATCTCATTCAGCCTATTGATTATAACTCAGTATTAGGCCGGCACGTTGAAGCATTTCACAATGATTGCCAGTCACGCCGAGATGAAACGATCAAATAATTATAAATCAATGAGACAAGAAGTGAACAAAAATCTCTTAACAGAATAAAATACATGAAAATGTTTTGAAACCTTTGATTGCGTTCCTGCTGATAATAATGTTTTTTTTTTCCAACCTCCATAAAACATGCACAAATAAAGTTTCCCAGTATTTAATTTTGTTTCACTTGATTGGTCCTCATTAGCTTTGGCTGACTCCTTTGCTACTCAACCCCCACTGTTATTTTCACATTGCAGTATACCCTCACAAAAACGCAACAAAAAAGCAGCGACAATCACAAAACACCTCACAACCGCACTTACTATGCGTGTTATACAAGACCGAATTCAAATTAACAGTTTCCAGATGTCGGGGTAAGCAAGGTTAAGAAATGCTCAGATGGTTGAACGTATATCAACATACATACACGATTTTACATTTCTAGAAATATGCATAGGCATCGTCAATGACAACCTCTTTCAGTAAATCTTGATTTATTTTCTTAAATGATAAATCTGCATGCCTCTGTTATATCATTTGGCCTTCAAGACATGCGTATGTAATATGTAGTCATTGATCATTCCCAAATTTAAAAAAAATCCTGTAGGAATGAGGCAGGAAATCTGTTCTCTACCTTCAACCAACTAGAGACTCATACACTGAACATTCGTTCCGTGTGGACAACAAAGTAAACAGCTCGCTGCCTTATTCTGAGCAATCTTTCTTGACGTATGACTGCTACCCGAAAGTTTCATTTTGTAGCTTCCAACAGCAGACTGCAATAGCATTTCCAAACATCAAACCTGTTCATCTACTTTGATGGGGCAAGATGCTGAAATATCACGTTGCTATCTTTTTTACGTTGCCGTTTTGGGTGAGGTATGGAAGTGAGCAGCATAATACCAATTAAAATGCTTGAAATTCTTGTGGGTCCAAAACAGACCACAGCAAGAATTTCTTGTCATATAATAGTACCTCTTCATTGCATTAGCGTCCCTCCAAATAATAATAATGATAATAATAATAATAATAATAATAATATAAAAATTGTAAATTTGATGCTTCTAAATGTTGCTATTCAAGATGTCAAAATTGCTTGTCATTTCGACTGTGCGCATCCAGACCAGCATTTTTCATTTGCATTTGTGACCTTTTACAACATGAAAGCTCTGCCTAATAGCTCACCAATCAATTGAGCGCAAAGGAGTCACCAGGGTGTGACCTGAGAGTACGTGCTAATAACGTGGCTAAGAAGTAATGGTTTCAAGGAAACCAGTTGGATCATGTACTTGTGGTTGTGCCCTTTGCTGGGGAAAGAAGCTTCGCAGAAAGATCAGATAAATGGTTTGCCATTCTCGGACGTAATTGGTTTTATTCAAAGCTTCTGGGATTTGAAGAAAAATATTAACACATCAGAATGGGAGTGTGTGGTGTAAATGGCCGCCTTAATGCTTTGCTGGGTCTTTGTCACTGTGAACTCCACCACCCCGGTTATCTAATCTCTACAATAACCTGCTAATTTAAACCAGTGGCAGTCAATGATTGTGTGTGTGTGTGTGTGTGTGTGTGTGTGTGTGTGTGTGTGTGTGTGTGGTTTTGATCTGCTACTGATGACCCTTTAGATCAAACAGCGGGTCTTCTGTTCTGCAGTGAGCCTTTGCCTGTTTGTTTGTGTGTGTGAGGGTTTTGCTGTTTGTCTGTGGTAGCCAACAGGGAAGAGGTGGAGCCGTGAGGGGAATTCCTCAAGTGTGCCTCTGCTTGTGCCTGTGGAAATACTTTTACTGCCACACTACCACAAAATTCAGAGGCTCATGCAGAAGTATTTAGTCAGTTGGGGTTGTCCAGACTAGTCGGCTTTACCACTTCAAAATGACATTCAAAGACTAACATCGACTAGTCACTATCCTGACTGTGTTTTATGGTTGCTTGCTGCATTCCATACTCTAGTGTGTGTGTGTGTGTGTGTGTTGTTTTTTTTTTAATGGTACTGCACAAAAAAATATCAATGATGTAATAAGTACCTACCAGTAGTTGCAGTACACTTGACTTTCATCACACTCGTGTTGACTGAAAAAAGGCCTGAAATTGCGCCACCACTTATAAACCACTAAAATAACACAAATGGGAACACAAATGTGAAAAGGTCAAAGGCTTCAAATTGTTACTCCGATCGGACTTTGGACCGCATCCCTTTCTTACGTTCTTTGTTACATATCCATAGGTCCCTCTCAACCTCTAAAGTCGAATGCATGCCATCGGAAGATGTCGGTCGACCTCAGTTTTGCTCAGATTTCAAAACAATTTGCCTTTGCTTCTCAAAAGCCCTGTTTTTCCACGATCGATCCGTTTCACGGATCGACTTTCCATTTTCTGTACCCGTGTCTCGCGATGTGTGTCCACATTTTATGGTGACGTGTTTACACCGGTGTGAGAAAATACATTGTTGGCTGCATTTGTTTGAGCTGCGACATAATACACAACGTATTTGTGGATGTCTTTTAGATCTTCTACAAAGTCACTCGAGATATTTTCCCCGGTGAGGAGCTCCTACTTTTCATGAAGGCAGAAGAGTATTCATGTGATACTTCCATGGCTCCTGATATTCACGGTCAGCATCACACATGTATACAGTACACAATGTTGCTCACTGGGACAACTTGCACAAGACGTTTTCTTCAACAATTTTCTCATGTTCACCCCTCCCGCTTTGCAGAGGAGAGGCAGTACCGCTGTGAAGACTGTGACCAGCACTTTGAGTCCCGCAGCCAACTGCTGGACCACCAGATGCAGCAGTGCGGGATGCCCCCCTCATCCTTCCATGATGCAGGTTTGGATTGTTTTTTTTTTGCTCTTCTTTAGATGCCCAGACTTCCTTCTCGTCGATACTCTGACTATTTCCTGGAATGTGAATTGTATTTAACTTGTTGTTTGTGTCTAGCAGAGGACAGTGACATCAATGCCCAGGAACCTCAAGACCTGCGACCTCTCCACATGTCTCATGACTTTCATGAGTGTAAAGAGTGTGATCAGGTCTTCCCGGATATCCAAAGGTGACTTCTATACGACCTGCGCTTGTGTTGTTGTAGTGTGAGTGTTCCTTCGTGTGACTGATTGATTGGTCATTTGTCCCCATCATTCCGCGTGCGGAGTAAGCCAGAATAATAAATGTTAAATGACAAATGTGAACAGGGTCGGCTTTGCCGTTGCCAACAGATTTTTTTTTTGATCCCGTAACAAAATATACAACTTAGTCTCGACATGTACTGTACGCTATTATTCACTTCAAACACTGAGTCGAAACATGATTTCAATGTTTTTGACTACTTTTGTACCGATGATAGTAATGCTCTGGAAGATCATCGCACTTGCTCAGCATGCAATCAGACTGATTCAAAGGGGCATATTTAAATTATATTCTTGGTGAATTTGGTGACAGATCAGGCACACACACACTTTCCCAGAGAATCAGCTGTTTTTTTCTCCATCTCTTTCTCATTGTTCTGTTTTTTATCTGTGCTTCCTGCAGCCTCGAGGCTCACATTCTGTCCCACTCTGAGGAGAGAGAATACAAGTGCGACCAATGTCCCAAGGCTTTTAACTGGAAATCAAACCTGATCCGACACCAGATGTCACATGACAGTGGCAAGCACCATGAATGTGAAAACTGCTCAAAGGTAAAGTGATGACTTTTGGGGGGAAAATGTGATGGTTCAGCCACTTTCTCGCTTTGATTTCTGTGTGGACTACTTTGTGTTTCTTTGGTCGATAGTAACACCTTCTGTGTATCTGTGTGGTTCCTTCCCCAGCAGGTGTTCACAGACCCTAGTAACCTGCAGAGGCACATCCGCTCGCAGCACGTCGGGGCGCGGGCCCACGCCTGCTCCGACTGTGGCAAGACGTTTGCAACGTCTTCGGGCCTAAAGCAGCATAAGCACATCCACAGCAGTGTCAAGCCCTTCATGTGTAAGTCACTAAGACCCTACCTATGTAAGTCTACTCAGTACATTATAATAATAACAAAAATAACATGCTTGTGTGACTAGAAAACGTGTTCTTGGGAATTCTTGTTTTCAGCTTTTCATACAGTTTCAAACCTAATGTTCCAGAGTAAATAAAGGAGGGAATATTAAGAATTGTGACATCATTTACTAGAAGTCAAGAGCAAACACAACGATGATTATTTGACAAGCATGTAATTGGAGCCACTTACACTCGGTCTTATCCAAGTGACCTAGTCTGACACACACAAACTCTTGCACGCATGCACACAAATACTCACACACACGCACACACATGCTCACTCACACACACAATCACACTTTTTCCCTCTTGCATACCCCAGCAAGACACATTTTGACCTTTCACACTCTCCTTTCCCTAAAGCATTATGACCTTCACCTCTTGCCTCTTCTATTTCCCTGACCTGCCACATGCCAGCATATGAAAATCAGTCCACATAAGAGATTCTACTCTCCTTTTCAATTAAGCATGTTAACATGTCGTGGGTGCGCAGGCTAGTAGGGCTGAAACGAATAATGATATGTTTTTTGACCGATAAGATATGTATCGAATCGGTATCAGGCCTGACAATTTGACACAAAGCGATGTACTGTATCGCTTTTTTGGAATGATACAATTCAATGTCGATGTGCAGCCAGCATTGATGTACACCAGTCCAATGCCTATCGATGTAGTTAGCTGTGCTGAAGCAGTAGGCGGGGTACACCCTGATCTGGTTGCCGGCCAATTGCAGGGCGCACAAAGACAAACAAGTGTTCACACTCACACCTATGGACAATTTTAGAGTGATCAATTAACCTACCGTGCATGTTTTTGGAATGTGGGAGGACCCGGAAAAAACCCAAGAGGTTTGGATAGGCTCCTGCCCCATATATGTAACATCTGTTTCTAAAACAAATTGGGTTCTGACATCAATATAGTGTTGATCGGCATGATAACTGATTTTGTTTTCAAACAGTGGCAAATGTAGTCAACTCCCATTTATGGCTTCATGAAAACTATTGCAAAAGGAACGACGATTGCAATTCAAGTATTTATTTACAACCCTGATGTGAATTACAGTAAAGAGTAGGGTAGGTGGTAAATATGTTGATAGACTAGTAAGATGGTCTCTATACTGGGTATGGTCACTGTCCATCTCTTAGGGTCAGATGGTGTCACAAAAGCACTTGAGTGCTGTGGGAAGGTTGCCCACTGTACAGGATGACAGGGACCGAGCTTGGGGACAAGGTGAGGGACCTGAAAGGGTGATGGGAGAGACTCAGGGTAGGCAAGTGGGGTGGGGGGCAGTATAGGACGTGGGACCTGTCCTGGGAACCAGACTGCAGGATAGGATTCATTCAACTCTGCTTCCTTCACAAACTTAAAATAGAGCCATTGTACTTCATACGCCTAAGAATGTGTGTGTGTGTGTGTGTGTGTGTGTGTGTGTGTGTGTGTGTGTGTGTGTGTGTGTGTGTGTGTGTGCGTGTGTCAGTACTCTTGCATTCCTTTGTGTGTCCTTCTCTGTGACTTAGTTTGTCTGTGTTGTTTTGTTGTGTGACTGTGTGTGTGTGTGTGTGTGTGTGTGTGTGTGTGTGTGTGTGTGTGTGTGTGTGTGTGTGTGTGTGTGTGTATATGTAATTGTTTATGGAATCCCTGGGACACAATGAGTCGAGGGATGCCTGGGAACTATTTCTGATGTGCAGGTGATGAGCGGCAACAACCTACTCACACTGTCATCCTGTTACAATACCAGGATCTGGACACACCTCTCCTCCTCATTTTGATGGAAACCATTGTCATAATATTGATGGGAACACAAGCGTTTCACATTGCATTTCCTCTGTGTCACATGTTAAGTAGAAATGTATTGTGTGATGTTCTTGTCGGTACTTTGTGCGTCTCTGCGTCGCGTTGTGAAACCCTCTTTGTTTACTTCTGTGTGCCCCTGCAGGTGAAGTGTGCCATAAGTCCTACACCCAATTCTCAAACCTGTGTCGTCACAAACGCATGCACGCTGACTGCAGAACGCAGATCAAGTGCAAGGACTGTGGGCAGATGTTCAGCACCACCTCTTCCTTGAACAAGCATCGACGCTTCTGTGAGGGAAAGAACCATTTCACGACAGGAGGAATATTTGCTCAAAGTATGCCACTCCCCGGCGGCCCTGGCTTGGACAAGTCAGCTTTGGCGATGGGCCACAGCAGTGCCGGATTGGTTGATTACTTTGGAACGAGCCGCCATCATGGTGGGCTTACGTTCCCTGCCGCGCCAGCCTTCCCATTCAGCTTCCCGGGTCTTTTCCCTTCTGGTATCTATCACCGCCCACCACTAATTCCAGCCACTCATTCGCCGGTTAGGCAACCCGCTCACGCTGCTGTTGCCGGGCACGGTGCAGAGCTCAGTAGGAATCCACTGCTGCCACCTAGCCCTGGAGCTCAGGAGTCCAGAGAGCTCCTTAAGGCGCTTCGGAAGGACAACAGTGTTCCTGAAAGTCAGACCACAGCTTCAGACCTACGCAATCAAAGCTCACTGTCCTCCACAAAGCAACGCAACAAGCAAAGTGACCAATCTGAAAGCAGTGATCTGGATGAAGTCAGCACACCCAGTGGAAGCGATCTAGAGAGTATGTCAAGCTCCGAGCTCGAAAGTGATATGGACACTGAGCGAGATAGGGGGGCTGTGCGGGAAAATGGCAAAAGCCTCAAACTGAAGGCTCGTGATGGAAGCCCCCAAAGTCTAAGCCTGACAAGCAGCGGTGCTGATAAAAACTTTGCCGGACCTTCGCTTATCCCTTCCTCACTGGACGAGCACACGGCCGTTACAGGGGCTGTAAATGACTCTATTAAGGCCATTGCCTCCATAGCTGAGAAGTACTTCGGCTCGACGGGCCTAGCTGGCCTGCAAGACAAAAAAGTCGGCTCACTGCCCTATCCCTCGATGTTCCCTTTACCTTTCTTCACAACTTTCTCTCCGCCAGTTTATCCTGTTCAAGACAGAGATGTCAGAGCTCACGTGCTGAAGAGTGGGCCGCAGTTGCAGGCAGACGATTGCAAAAAGGCTCAGAGCAAATCGTCATCGGAGACACCGTTTGACCTCACCACCAAACGAAAAGAGAAATCGCCCCCGTTTGAGCCTTCCAAACTCGAAGCCTCCCAGTTTACCGGTCAGGATCAGCCTTTGGACCTCAGCCTAGGGACCAGGGGCCGTGGATGCAGTGCAAGGGAAGAAGAGGAAAAAATGTGTGAGGGTCATCAAGATGAGAAGGCAGTTTTGGTAACACCAAAGCCCGACTCCTCGTTACAACATGCCAGGCCGACTCCTTTCTTCATGGATCCCATCTACAGGTATTGTTATTCCCAGTGGTTTTGTCCCAAGACACGTTCCTACCAAGAACCGTGATTTGATTCAACTTGGCACAGTACAACCTCTGCATTTTCATTTTACAAATTTGTAAAAGGCACCAAAATAAACATCGCATAGCAATGTCGAGCATCCATCCATACCAATCGGCCCACAGCTTTGTACCATGTGATATTGGTATTCTTCCATCATCCCATGGACAGAGAAATGCAAGTCCGATCAAGATTTTAACAGTGTCGAAGTTAACTCGAAAGCAGGATTGGTCTGGAATTTTGAAGGCACAGAAACATTGCAAACTTAATTGTGTAAAATTACGTAAACCCAAAGAAAATGCTACCTCTTGTTGCTTCACTTTAGACTTTACCATAAATGTGCTGTCGTGAAAAATCTTACACAGCTGACAAATGAACAGCAGCAAGCTACAGTTGGAGTATTTGACTCGTTTGTCTTTGATTTGCAACCTTCAAATACCGTACTTGTGTGTTACGAGCTGATCGAAATCTACTATTAGCAGGGTTGAGAAGAGGAGAATGAGTGATCCGTTTGAGACGCTGAAAGACAAGTACTTGCGGCAAGCTCCGGGCTTCCTTTTCCACCCTCAGGTATGTTCGGACTGTGCCATCAACGTGGAATGGGACCTGGAACCGATCTGTGTGTATATTTGTGTATAAAGTGCTTAGAGCCTGCTTTGGAGCAATGTCATTCTCCTCAGAAAAAAGAGGGAAGATAATTTCTGACAGAAGGAACCAGACCAGTAAATAATGGTCACTGCTATACACAATGTGAATTTAAGAAAAAAAAAAGTTCATTCATTATATTGTCAGATTTTTATTGTTTAATAAAACCGTTGCTTCAGATGATTGACCTGCAAAAAAAAAAAAATTGCTCCACAAAGTTAGAAAGTTGCTCCTCAAACAAGGTAATTGATTGACAAAAGTGCTCAGCAGTGAAGAAAAAAAAAATCAAGCCTTGTATATGTATTGAACTACATTCATTTAATCAGTCTCTGTTGTGGGTGAGAACGGCCTCGGAAAGTGAAAACAGCACTCTCTCAGGCATATGATTCTGTTCCCCCTTTTTCTCCATTTCAGGTCTGGTTTTTACAGGCTGTTTCATTTGCCTGATTTATGTCCTCTGTCCAGACTGTGGCAAAGGCCTAGCCTGCAACGACCACATGGTCGTCCCACATGCCTTAATGAGGTGTCCTATCAGTAGAAACACTAACAGAGTGCTTAGGCCATCTTTATGACTTTATGATGTCTGGACACACAAATCATTCCCAGAAACCCCAGACTAGTGTAGGTCCAAGTCAGACCAGGCGAGGGGCCCTTTTATATACTTTTGAGTGGCATTGCGCTCAGTCACCTGACTCACGTCTCGGCCATATATTAAGTCAAACGAAGAACATCTGAAAGACGATATTCTTTTTATTTTTTAACCTTTTTGTGATTCAGCTTTTTACTTCCTGGCAGGATATTTTATTGCAAAGCAATTTGGGCTCATATTACATTCTGGCTGCTATTGTAATATTTTTATTGCGCACGGGGAAGTGTTCGGAACTATGAGAGCCATCTACAATTCCGCCGCCGTAACTTTGGAGTTAGGCAGCTCATTGCTCCTTTATAGTTAAAATCTTTGACCCATGTTTTGTATAGTGTAGACATTGATTGCTGCTGCTTTCTGACTTTTTTTTTCTTTTCTCCCTTCAGTTTCGTTTGCCAGATCAGAGCACTTGGGTAAGATATATGTATATATAATTTTTCCTCAGTAATTCATGTACACCATAAGAGCGTAGGGTTTTTTTTTGTTTGTTTTTTAAATAACATTGTTTTTTACGATCTTGTTGCAACACTTAATTCCTCAAGAGGTACTAATGAGTCACAGCACCTTGAAACTCTGGATTTCTCTGCTCCTCTCACACTATTGTGGGAAATTGGCATTACAATGGAAGACCAAAACAATTTGTTCTGCGCAACTAGTCCACTTCCGATTTCGAGGAAATGTTTCCCCACAGGAGACAAATTTCTTGTGTGTTCTACATACTTGGCCAATAAAGATGATTCAGATTTGGATTCTGATTCAGTTAATGGGACAGAATTGATCAGTTTCAGGCCAAAACTTTAGTCATTGTAAAACTTTTATTCGCTGGAAAAACAACCGTGGCAATATGTTGATCACTTAATAATAATAATAATAATAATAATAATAATAATAATAATTATTATTATTATTATTATTATTATACATTGACCTCACAGTGCAGAGGTATCGGGTTCAATTCCAGGTCCAGCCTCCCTGTGTGGCATTTTGCATGCTCTCCCCAGGCCTGCGTGGGTTTTCTCCAAATACTCCGATTTCCTCCGACATTCTAAAAACATGAATGGCAGGTTAATGGAACACTCTAAATTGTCCCTAGATGTGAGTGTGAGCGCGGATGGTTATTCGTCTCTGTGTGCCCTGCGATTGGCTGGCAAACAGTTCAGGGTGTCCCCCGCCTACTGCCCAAAGATGGCTGGGATAGGCTCCGGCACCCCCCACTACCCTTGTGAGGATAAAGCGGATCAGAAAATGGATGGATGGATGGATGGATAATAAAAATAATATATTTTAAAAAGATGTAGGGGATGTAAGCCACCTCACAAAAAGATCTCATTCAGCTCACTTCACAGTGTTGTTTTTCTTTCTTATATTGTCAAGCTTATACTTAAGTTGTAAGTGTAGCAAAACAACATGTTGGGCTACTTTGTCATACTGTAGTGAGGAGCCCAGTAGAAATGCATACTGAGCAATCAACTTCATGGGTAATTTGCACAAGAGATCACAGGGCAGAAAACGAGGGTCAGTCTGGTGTCGGATGCACAGGGTGAAAAACGGGTAGTCTAATTCAAAAATGGAGGCTGGAGAGGCACTTTCCATCAATATACCCAAACCAACCACTTTTGAACATATAGTATGCTTTTTTTTGTACAGATAACGAAGCGCATCTATTGCATATGATCATGAAAGGGAGAGGGAACGGAGGGGCAGTGGAGATTTTATTGAAGGTAGTTGTTTAGACGGAACTGTATGCTTTACATGTGTCCAAGGGTAACAGTCTCTTTGGGACACCCCCGTGGAGTGTGGGGTGGGGGGGGGGGGTCGAGGGTTGAGCTTGTTTCTCTCGCCAAACATCTGGTTGCTGATAAAGATCAACAATTGAGAATGCATCTCGCTAATTAGGCCCTCGCAGCATCACCGACTTCTGAAGATAGCCAATCAACCACTGGTCCCACTGCGACGCTACAGCAACAAGCAAGTTCACAAATGCTTACACACTGCCTTGGGGAAAATGAAAAGGGGTTTTCATGAGGTGTGCGTCTGTGTGTGTTCAAAAGTATGTGCAAAGGGGCCTGTTATACAAAAGAGTAGAGTGTATGACCTTGGGAAAATTACCTCAGAGCGCAGTCTGGTCTCTTCTTGACATTAAGTAGCTTAAACATTTCACACAGACAAGGCACTGTGACATAGCCAAATAGACTTCATCAACCTAATCCATAAAACGTACACATCCATCATTGAAGTGCAATCTGTGGTTCATGCTTTGTAACTTTTCAGACATCCTTAGAGAATCAGATATGACGAGTCACGAATGAAATGTAAATGAATAAAGACTGTATACTTTAAATAGAGCTCTATTAAGACAGTGTCGTAAATTATGATTGATCATTTATGATTGGCAAATTTGTAGTTGCAGGAGTGTATGACTGCATCATATCACAAAATTTTTTTGAAGATATTTTGGTGGTAAACATATAAACAAGGTGATCAACATAAGAATAAGAGTAAGAAAACCTTTATTCGTCTCAGCATGGAGACATTCCCAAGACCAAACATTATACCATGATGCATAGCCGTTGCAAACTACAATTACAATAACGGTTCGAATCAAAATCTACCAAACTTGACAATCCGCATCCTCCCACATTGAGAATGTCGACTGCATCGGGAATTTTGTACTCAGCCGTCACTTGCTTTCAACACGTCTCTACGCACGGTCATCCATGAGTTTCTCTCAAACGATAGTCTTTCTTTTCGTCTTTCTATCATTTTATTTTTTTTTCTATCCCTCCTATCATCTTGTCCTTCATCGTGCTTCCTCTCAGAACCTCTTCACCTCTCTGCTCGCCATTTACTCCATCTTGGCGTGAAGCCTGAGTGTAACAGGGGCTGAAAACAGGAGATGGAATGTCAGAGTCGAAGCGGTGCTCCCGTAGAGGACCCGAATCACCGCTGATTTGTTGCCTTGATGAAATAAGAACAAGCTGAAAATTCAATACGCGTAAAACAATGCAAATTTTTGTGGCCCCATTGGAAAAGAAGAAAAAAAAAAAAAAAAAGTGTGCGCGTGTGCATGCATTTCATGTGCAAGCGGGATGTGTGCGCGAGCATGCGAGAGTGTGCGCATGTGTGTGCGTGGGATGGCCTGTCAGGCCCAGTGCTCTACTGGGACCACCACCCCTCTGTCGCCCCCTTCGCCCCCCTTGCAGCTCTGCCCCTCCCCCACTCCGCCCCTTTCAGCACAGCGATATCATTATTACCCATGTCTGGCCCTTGATCAGCAATGTCAACATCTTTCATATTGACGAATGTGCTGTCTGCCCGCATTGTGCACGGAATGGTTTACTGCCCAGCAGTGGACATGAATCACTCCACACACAAACACAAACACACACCCGACATGGATCTGACAACACGCAGATACACACTTGGCACGTAGAATCAAACTCGCGGGCAACACTCGTTTCGGTAAGCACGCACACACTCTGCTCCCTCACATGCATTACAAATACATTCTTCTCGCTCACACACAGACATCTATTTTCACACACACAGGTGGCAATTAATCAACTATAACCACCATGAAATAGTTTCTTATATCCATATATCCACATACTGAGTAGGCAAGAAGGCATAATTTTTCCGAGGATATCTGATGAAAGCAACCAACCGGTCAACTTCATTAGCAGATTGGCTCCAGTCGTTAATTCTTTCCTTGTGTCTGAGTCTGTCTGTTGAGGTGTTGTCTGTCTGAGAGAGAGAGAGAGAAAGGGAGAGTTGTGTGAACAAACTCAAAACTTTCTCAGAGCATGTCAGGAATGTAAATGTGGGCTATGAAATTGAGGCTCAAATTCTCATTGTGCCTATTTCAAATGTAGGATATACAAACCTTGCACATTCGGTGTTGCCCAATTTTTTTTATTACTTTTTAATCGCAACATTTTGATCATCATTTGCCGGATACTGAAACAAAGAAAATCTTGTTACTCTTTGCTGAGAAATTTTCAGACCCTGATCAAATCAATGCCAGACTCTTTAGTCCGTTCATGAACATGAAATTCCAGCAGAATGGCATTTCCTGGAGTTTTTAGTTGTACAATGATCCGGTCTCGTCTTCCTGTTGCTTTCCTTCAGATGTCAGCTATTGAGAACATGGCTGAGAAGTTGGAAACTTTTGGCTCCTTGAAGCCAGACTCGGGCGATCTGCTGCGCTCTGTCCCCTCCATGTTTGACTTCAGGGCTCCACCTTCAGCGCTTCCGGAGACGCTGCTCCGCAAAGGCAAGGAGCGCTATACATGCAGGTAACCACAACACGCACTGCAGCATTGATTATCAATACTTATTTGACTAGATTCAGGAGGTTTACTCTCATGAAGAAACGGTGAAGTTTTGCTGATTCTTATTCACCCTTAAAAGAGACCAACTAAGCAAAGGATTATTCCATTTCAAATACTGTGGAAATCAAAAACGTAGCCTGTACCATATTTTGATTGACATTTACATTTGATTTACAGAGGGTTTCTGTATTATTTTCTCTTATGTTGAATAGATATTGTGGTAAAATCTTCCCACGTTCTGCCAACTTGACGCGCCACCTTCGGACTCACACAGGGGAGCAACCTTATAGGTAAGGAAGACACTTTTGTGATTTCATTTACAGTCATTATTATTTGTTTGGTGTTTGATGCCACTCAAGCTCCGGATCTAGCTGCTCACTGCTGTCCTTGGTGTCAATGAAAGGAGACCGTAACTGTAGAAAGTGTAGTCATTTTGGTGCTTGGATCTTTGATCCTTCCCAAATTTCCCAGGTCCTTGCAGATATGCCACGCCAGCCCAGTATTTCATGGAAGTCACTTTTTGGGGTAGTCCTGAAAGAAAACAAAATGGCAGTGAAAACAATATCTCTCGCCATTGTGTGAATGAGTAGTAGGCAATGACATCCATTTTCCGATCCGCTTAATCCTCACAAGGGTCACGGGGCGTGCTGGAGCCTATCCCAGCTCTCTTCGGGTAATAGGCAGGGGACACTCTGAACCGGTTGCCAGCCAATCGCAGGGCACACAGAAACTAACAACCATTCGCACTCACACTCACACCAAGGGACAATTCGGAGTGTTCAATCAGCCTGCCATGCATGTTTTTGGGAATGTGGGAGGAAACCGGAGTACCCGGAGAAAACCCACGCAGGCCCTGGGAGAACATGCGAACTCCACACAGGGAGGCCAGAGTTGGAATCGAATACCTCTGCACTGTGAGGTCGACGCGCTAACCTCTTGATCACCGGGCCGCCCTGGAGTAATTGTGATACTGCTAAATAATTTGTCTCTTGAAAAATGCTGTGCTGTCACCCAGGCGACAACATTTTCCAAGAGCAAAAGAAGGAGGCAAATATTGTGATCTTCGGAGAGATTTTTCAATAAATCAATAAGTCATAAATCCATATTCTTGTCTTTCCGACATATCATGCTCCAAATATTTACATTCACCCTCTCTACTACGTTAGCATTTACACTTGCTGAAAAACCAACAATGAAACTAATTTGTTGTTTATACAAGTACCTTTACCTTGTTAAAATCATGAGTAATCCCTCGCCAGAAGGCAGCTTTGTAGTTACTGAGATGGAATGTTGCCCCGACGCTTGCAGGAGGCCTTTTCACAACAGGGGAGCGAGGTCTCTACTGCCCCAGCCTGATAGCCTCCACTCCACACACTGGCATGCCATTAAAGATGACCGCTGTTTATGCTCATTTGTTATGTTGATAACCAGGGGAGTCCTGTGGGAGAGCCAATCCAGCGAACTAATTCCAGCCGAAGAAAAGATCTAATCTTCTGGTATAATTTTGCATGAAGAAACTTGGCAAGGGCGGCTAATTTTGCTGGGATAGAACACAATCTGTTGCGTGCTTATTGAGTGAGAGAAGAATGCAATTTTATTGAGCTGGCTGGAGATAAGAGGCAATTCTGTTTCACCTTCAACAAGCTCCTCCATCATGTCTGGATCTGTGGAATTGCTCGGACTGTGTGTGTGTGTGAGTATGTGTGTGTGTGTGTGGGTTCTGTATCAGAGATGATTGCTGCAACACAAACCTAGAGTTCCAAAGTCATGTTTTTGGTTGGTGTTTGTTTTGTCCTTAACACGCTTTTTTTTTCTCTCTCTCTCTCTCTGCAGATGTAAATACTGCGACCGCTCCTTCAGCATCTCTTCCAACCTGCAACGGCATATTCGCAACATCCACAACAAGGAGAAGCCCTTTAAGTGCCACTTGTGTGATCGATGCTTTGGTCAGCAAACCAACCTGGATCGTCACCTCAAGAAGCACGAGAATGGTAACCTGTCCGGTAAGGAGCAGAGAGGCCTCATCTGTTATTCCAAATGAGAGCTTGAATGCTCCGAAAGAATCCCTACACGATTCACCCCCACACTGCGAAATAATCTTAAAAGACGAAAAATGAAATAATTCCAGTAAATCTGCCATCAAACTCAACAAGAGCACAACATATTTATGAAATGAGCTAATTTTATCATTAACATATAACCTATAACATAACACTATCATATCTGTGATGGGCTCAATGTCTCTGACTGATCAGAATCACACACACACACACACACACACACACACACACACACACACACACACACACACACACACACACACATTAATTGACATACTGAAAGGTGACAAAAATGCTCAGTACTGTACATACATTGCAAATTTCTGACCTAAAATGAAAAACCTCTTCAGATATCTTAACAGCTCTATTGCATAGCATTACATTGTGCAGCTTTCTGATGTCTGGTGTATGCCGAGTCTAAATCTGTGACATTGAAGTCACTCATCAGTCACACACTGTTATGTGTTTAGTTTATGTCCGACAGCCATGGTCCCATACTCACGGCCCGGGGGCCACTTTTCGCCGTACCATCGCACTTATGAGCTACCATAGCTCAGGCTCATGACCGCTTATGACGAAATTCCAAGTGGAAGGAAGATATCCTGTCACCAAGGTCCATTCGTGTATTTTTTTTATATCTGCTATGAAGAGAGAGGTTGGTGACGAGAACAGCCAATTTCTAGCAAAATAGGGCACATAATGTTTCTTTGGTTTTTTTGGCAAGGCTTCCCAATACGTCTTAATGCACAGTGAAAGTTGTTGCCGCTCAAGAAATCAAACATCGTGACTCAAGTAGACATGCTGAGGAGTACGCCAAGTACCGAGGAGATTAGAGAACCCCTTTTTTGTAGAATACTTGATGCGGCTCAAACACTCCCAGACTTTCCAGCAACACCCACATAAATTGAGTTTCACAGCCGTGGTCAACAGGAACAGTTTGTCCCGAGAAATAATGTTCAAGGAGCTGCATGGTAATTTGGGTTGAAGAGTGTCATCGTGACTCATGCATTAACCTCCAAACCGTACCAGAAAATAATGACACTGAGAAAAACATGTTTCTCCCTTGTTTCTTTGCACAGGCACCGCAATGTCTTCGCCGCAGTCGGAACTCGACGGTAGCAGCGCCATATTGGACGACAAAGAAGACTCTTACTTCAATGAAATAAGAAATTTCATCGGCAACACGGGCCAAAGCCAAACATCGCCGGACCCCTCTGAAGAAGGGTAGATAAACATCTCCATTTTCTGAACTACTATTTTTTTTCTGGACGTAAGGGCTTGAAGACAGAAAATTGTTCTCCAGCGGTTTGTCTGTCTTAGACTTGGATTTTACTATCACTCCAGCCCATCTTAGTAATTGCGTACTGTTGAGAGTGCAATCATGTGTGTCAACATTTAAGGACATCACAGCTCTTTCATGCATTAAATCAGGTGATGTCCCTGTGCATGCAAGTCCGTCTGTGCATTATGCAAATACATTCTTGGAGCTGCGATCAGGTCAGATAACGGTTGTGCAATCTGCTCGGCTCTCAAGAGTTTGTTTTCACGCGCCTCCCGTCGGTGTGATCGCAGTCTCGATTGTACGGCCAGATAGAGATCTCGTAGACTGCTCGATGATTGGGCCTCCATGAGCAGGAGCAGGCGCAGGAGCCTCGGGAGGACGGGAAGAGAAGCCCAAAGGGGGAGCGAAGCAGTTAGCCCGCCACATCTGGAACCAACATGTCTGCCGACAGGAAGAGGGTAGAGGGGGTGGGGTCACAAGGTCGGCCTGTGTTTCCTTTCAAAATGGTGCGCTTCTGACTGCTTCTGATAGATACTTTATCCCCAGCAAATTACCACGTTTGAAAGCATAATTAGCGAATCTGTTTGCTTAATCACAGAGCTCTCGCTGGCTCTTCAGGAGTCACTATTCAGAGCCGTGTGAGCTCAATACGACACAAATACCACCGTTTCAGGCCCAAGCTTACGCCGTCCCGGTTCAAGATTGATGTAAAACACAAAGCGGTAACGACGTCTGATAAAGAACAAAGGATGATACATATCTTTTATGTCTGCACACACTTAACTGCATTGCCATCAAGTCAGGTATCGGATACACGCACAGTAATTATGTGATGACGTGTTACTTTCCGATCTGCATTTCTCTTTCTCTGAGCTCTCTTTGTGCAAGGTTTTTTTTAGTTGTTTTTTTTTTAATGTATCTGCAGAAAGACATCCCTGAGTGTAATTAGTGAATCAGTCTGAATATGGTTCCGGGTGATTTAGCAAATGGCGGTTTCCTGTGGCACTGAGAAGGAAAAATTAAGACTCTGGCAGTTTGTATAGCTGGTTCTCTTTCCCTCCACAAGCAGAGCAGAATGGACCGCTTGGCAGTGCATTCATAATTCAACTTCCAAATGGGGCTGTCAGCTAAATATTTTGCCTATTAGATGATTACTAGATAGTAGTGAAGATAAACAAGAAGAGAGACTAAGCACTCCGGTTAAGTGCTGCAATGATGAAGTTGGTGCTGCTGTGCCCAGAGGGGCCCTGCAGCCTCAATGACGAATGAGATTCCGGCTTTGCTCTGTCCCAGCTGCCATGTCCTGCTTCGCTGCTTTGTCCAGTAGGCCACTAGCCATCGTGCTTTTTTACATATGGAAGCAGAGGAATGTTGCAAGAACATTTCAAAAACATACACACAAAAAAAAAATTATATGGCATAAAAATAATTCATATAAATGTGTTATATTCTTGCTCTACAGTGTCAATGGCAACGCATTTGAAGAAGAAAAAACTCTCCAGATGGCCAGCCGTGGGTCACATGACTTGGAAGACGAGGAAGCAGAGGAGCTTGCTGCTGATGAATATGGGGAAGAGCCCAGCAACACCCTGCATAAATCCCAAGAGGAGATGCCCAATAGCGACATTAGTGATGACATCATACAAGATGGAATGGACTTCAGTCGGACAAATGAATCGAGCCAGAACTGTAAAATCTCTCCGATGAGGTAACGCTAATAGTGTAACGGTGTCTGTTTTTTAATTTCAATGTTTGACATGAAGATATTTCGGGGTGGTTTTCAGGTATAAGGACGAGGAAGAGCCGAGTGGCTACTCCGCATTGGATCAGATCCGTCACTTTCCAGACATCCACAAGCTTGAAGAGAGTGAGATGAGCGATGGGGAAGGTGATGAAGATGACCAATCATTTGCCTCTGCCTCGCTGGATGACGCAGTCAAACAGCCCCTTTTTCGGAAATCAAAGTCACAGGTAACAGCATTTTGGAAGGAACGCCTCACCTTGCACAGGTGCAGGGTTCAATTCCGGCTCGGGCCTTCCTGTGTGGTAGCAGGCTGAGGAATCGGACCCAAAGTTAGGCAGCACACTAAGGTCGAAGATGCGGCATACGTAATAAGCGCTGACTAGGAAGCATTTTATTCTATTATTTATTCACGCATCAGTTTAAAATTCGAACGACTCCAGGAGAACCGGTCCGGCACTTTGAACTTTGATCCCGGTACTGACAGAAGGCCCACCTCTGCATATTTCCAAATATCTTTCAAGATATGTCAATGAGTAACTAATCATCGCTGTCTTTCAAAATTGTGTGTGTTGTGTCCGGCCACTCAATGACCTGCTCATCTCTGTCCTTCGCCAGGCATACGCCATGATGTTGTCTCTGGCTGAAAAGGACTCTCTCCACCCCGCCACCCACACGCCGGCCTCCATGTGGCACAGTCTGGCTCGGGCCGCTGCTGAGTCCAGCGCCCATGTATGATGACACCTGCTTTTCACCTTTTACATCCCCCAACCCCTGACTCATGGAATTGGGAACCCATTGCCGGGCATTCTTCCTGTCTGCAAAGCAGAATCAGGGCCCTTCTGACTGCTGAGTGCAGCGCCTTGTACAAAAGCAGGGTCCTTGCAGACCCCAGCCCAGAAAACCTCAACTTCAAAAGAGAAAAATATCCCTCTGAGACCTTAAAAATGGATTTCCTTGTATGGCACCTAACCAGGATGACGCGATTGTGGTGGAAATAATAAATCTAAAGTAATAATAGTCATATTTATTCTCTTCATTTGCACACCAAAGGCAGCTGGGTGGACATGGAAGATGTGCTGATGTATCTTGGATAGACTGCGTTCACTGCCCAGTTCACACAAAGTCGGGTGAATATATGTCGTCGCTTGTGTCTCAAAGGCAAAGTATGTATCACTGTAACAAAAACACTGTCTCGAATGACATCATGTATATTCAAACTGTATTGCAATTCAAATCCCCGGGGTCCACGTGTTACTTTGAAAAAATAAAATTGAAAAAAAAATGCACTTGATGTAATGAAGGGTGGTAACAACCTTGGTCATAGAAGTTCTAAAAGAAGTACCTGTTAGTAATGCTAAATCAAACCAGTTCCCCATCTGTATTCACGGTGTGTCTGCACAATCATCTATTCTCTCCTGCCTTCCATCCCGCCCATCTGCACTATCTGTGAAAGGTTAGGAATAGATTGGCATTTTAGTGGATGAAAAGAAAACACGATTTGGTTTTTTTTTTAACTGAGATAAGTAGCCAGCGCTGTAGTAATAGATTGGCATTTTAGTGGATGAAAAGAAAACACGTTTTGTTTTTGTTTTTTAAACTGAAATAAGTAGCCAGCGCTGAAGTTAAATGTTGTTCTCTAAAGGGCATTTATCTTTTTCCACACCATTGATTTCATCCTAGTCAGCCAACAATACCACTAAATAGCCTGAACGCTAGTTGTTAACTACTCATTCTTGACCTTCATTCATTTTAGACAATCATGATTTCTTTTTTTTTCATTCTTTTTTTTTTTTTTGTTGATGTTGTTAGTGTTGTTGGTGTTGTTGTATGTTGTCGTATGTTGATAATTGTATTTATTTGTTGGCAAACTGTAGTTTGTTTACTGAATAGCACTGCTCCGAGCCTGGGCAACAATGGCAGACTCCACTCCGGGCCTTCATTGGGGTATGTAGATTCCATTTGAGTGCCAGATAGTATTAAACATACAACTCACTCCTAATTCTTTTGATGAAACTGGTTGACGAATAGATTAGTTTTTTTTAATGACAATTAATGATTAAATTGTTTAAAAAAAAAAAAGAAAAGAAAACAAGAAAAAAAACTGTATATAGAAGGAAATCATTAAAAGACAAAACAAGCCGGGTATCATTTGTTCATATGCGCATGGTTGGTCGGCTAAGATTTGTGTTGAAATTTTCTACAGTTGTCTGCAAGCTTGTGTGGCGTTCAGTTCATGTTAAACCCTTGTGCCAAACTTTAAAAAAATAAATAAATAAAACAGATTTCTCTTATGTATTCTCCCATTTTGTGGGACCACATTTTTGGTTTTGTCTTTGTTTGTAATCAATTTTAAAAAAGTAATCAGCAAGTTGTGGTACTTTTATTTTAATGCTTTTTACAATGTAACTGTTACGCATTTCAATTCAAATAATGTGGGAGGAACAACTAAATAAAGGACTACAATGTGGATTGACATGTCTTCCTTCCGCTCTTTATTCTTCCACAGACGTTTTACTCACTCGTTCATTTGGAACCTCCCTCACGGTACCCCATATAAACCCCCTTCCCGTGCCCATAATTACGGCACCAACACGGTTTTCCACATATGGGTCAGAGAACCACCTGGCATTTTATTCTGGCACTCCCATGGCCTCCGAAAGCAAGCCAGAGCCTGAACTCTGCTCCTTTTTCATGTATTTATTTCTTTATTTTCATCCTCGGGCATTGGCTTCCATAGAGGGGACAGAAGGCCAGAGCGGGCTTGAATGTGGTAGTGGGAGCGGAGGCAGGAATGTGTCCTCTTCATTTGTGTCTGTTTGTGAGGCATGATGGATGAGGTGGGTAGATGTGATGACCTGGCTCATCGCTCAAACGCTCAATAAGAGTCCCATCCAGTGCAGCAGTTCTCCCCGTCCTGCAACCCCTTTTCTGTCACTGCTGCCAGCCGACGTGGGCGGACATTGTGGCTGTGAGGGTTTGGAGGTCTTAACAGCTCCATTGTCCACAGGGCAACTCGCGAAGGGGGATTGCGGGCTTGGGTGAATTGAGCATGACGATGTCGATGACTGCCTGGCTTTGACGCGCCGCATTTACAGTGCTTTTGTTACCCCGATGGGTGGTGAGTTTTCTTCGGGGCTGTCGTCACCCTTCAGGTTTCCACGGGGCGTCCACCTTTGATGAGGTCGTGGGGGGTCAGGCATTGTTGATGAGGTCGGTGTGGGTCGCACAGCTTTGATGAGGTCAGTTGCAGTGATGGTGCAAGGCAACTTCATCATGGAGTGGCCGTGACAATGGTCCTGAGTGGGACTTTTGCCACCTGTGCTAGCGTTGACTACATACAGCCTGTTTATGTGAAACCATGGGTTCAATTTAGACATTAAATGTCAACTTGTATATCTACGTATAAGCACTGCACAAAAATATATGTATGTATTTATTTATTTATTTATTTATTTTGCCTTGCTTATAGATTATACAAATTGACATTTAATGTCTACTGCCCCCAAGTGGCATTAAGTTACTGTAACAATTCTAAATTGTTTTTTTTTTGTTGGGGGATGTGTAATTCAGATGCTGTTTATTTAGCTTCAAACAAATATAGCAAATATAGAGCATATATGCATCCCATAATTTCAGTGTGACCAGTATGGTTTAAAAGTGTAAAATTGCATTAAACCTTCACTTAAATGTGGGCACTAAACTGTCATGAATTCATAGCAATGTGTGTCACATCATCATGTGTAACAACTTTGTGTGAGCACAGCAGTGTGATGCGCGAAAGAAGTGTTTTTCATTTACAAAGGAAAATGTACTTATTTATGTTGTTGTTGTTGTTATAAGTCATGACCTGCTGAAAAGATTTGAATGCATTCTAATTGCCAAATATTTCACAAATCTTTCACTGTTTGTGTTGATGAACACATATCAGCCTTGTTTCACTGGCATGACTTGTTGGCATTATAAAGTAACATCCATCCATCCATTTTCTCATCCTCACAAGGGTCGTGGGGAGTGCTGGAGATTTGCCAAGCTGTCTTCGGGCAGTAGGCGGGGGACACCCTGAACTGATTGCCAGCCAATAGCATGGCACACATAGACGAACAACCATCCGCGCTCACACTCACACCTCAGGTGTCGTGTTTTGTCTTGATTGTGTTCCAGCTCCAGCAGGTGCACCTGTGCCTCGTTTCCCCATCAAGCTAGGCTGTGTATTTAAGGACCCCGAGTTGTGCTATGCTTTGTCAGATTCTTGACCTTGCTTGCTGTTGTATTTCAAGTGTGATTTTTTTTTTTTTTTTTAAATAAGACCTCTAGGTACCATTCATAGATGCTGTTATATTGTTCATAGATCCTTGTTTGCAAGTATTTTTGTGTTTCTGTTATTGCTTTTTGTTTTTGTGTTGTTGGACTTTTGGGTGTTTTGTTTGAGTATTTTCGGTGTTCTATTGAACCTTGCCTTTGAGAACGCTTTTGGTTTCATGCATTGTTTTTTCCTGGCACCTTGGGACCAGCAATCTCATTTCATAACTTGTCGGTGTGATTTTCTTTCATAAATATTTTTGTAATCTCATTTTGTCTGAGCCTGCATTTTTGGAATCCTAAAACATTATTCGGCTCTGTCAGAACCTAAAAGAGGAGTGAGACATTTTGAGTGTTCCATTGACCTGCCATGCATGTTTTTGGAATGTGGGAGTAAAGTGACAACTTCTCATAAATGCCAGAGTGGGAGGGCCATGTGTAATTATTATTAGTCATGATCCTAAACATGCTATGCCGATAGAATGTATGCTTCCAGACAGGTGGGCACAATGTGGGCAGCCCTTCCCGGGGCTTGAAGCCACTCAGCTAATAGGGCATCTGGCAGAACCCCATCTCCAAATCCATCACGCAGGCCTCAGCACAGATCCTGAACAAGCCCCATCCTTTTTTTGTTTTTTTTCTACATCCTTTCTATCCTATGCCGTTGGCCCAGGCAATCATCTCTGCACGGCATGTAACTGAAACATACATCATGATCCCCAGAGAGCGATGCTACTGTAGCTGGCAGCTCTCACACTGATTGACTTGGCAAACATGCTGACTCAGACCCCAGGGGAAACTGTTTTGGAGCGGGTGGCGAGGATGGGCGTGGCCTGAATTCTCTGCTTATCGTCTCCTTAAATATCCCTGGCTGTTCCTAATAGAAAGTAGGTTAGCTTAAGTTGCCATTTGAAATAATTTCAATTAGACGTGACATACATTCAATTACAAGGGACTTATTTTACTGAACAACTACTTGGGTCAAAATTTCAATGATTTTTCACCTGTTTGGGTCCGTTTTCTTCAGTCTCGCTGTCATTAGCATTTGCATTGCTTAGGCATTTCGGTTTGGCCCGGAATTGCAGCCACCGCTGTCCAATGTGTGCATCTGAGCACTTTCAGGTTTTGAGGCGGTGTGGGAATGTATGTATGCAGCACAAACCGGTGCACAGCTAAAAAAATGTTTGTTTCTCGCTTTGCTGGTCGTCGCTTGCTTCCCAAATTTTTTTATCATGTCCATTTCATGAAATGAGAATTTTTTGTTTTTTTAAGTGTTAAATTTTTAATTTTTGCTTCTCAAGTTTTGAAAGGGCAGTGTCACATCACCACATTCACAAGCACCATAAAAAAAACGTGCCTGTTTTTTCAAGTCCCATCTGTCTCACTCGTGTGATAAGTTACCAAGGCATCAAAGCAGATCCGGCTTTTTTGTGGTCTGTTGCCGCTTGTTTGATTCCATTTGCGTGATCATTTAGTTTCATTGTTTGCAAATCCCTGATCTTGTTTGACACATTTAAGGGAAATTTCATATTTGGCACTATTCTAAAGGAGCCTGCTACAAATGCTCATCCACAGTCTATTTAAAAAATTGGATATGATAATTTTGAACGTATTTTCAGAAATGTGAACATTTTTAAAATATATACTTTGACATATTACTGTATTGTGTCGCAAAATTCCCTTGATCTCAAAACTTAATCAATATCGAAATAAATGCTCATGGGGTACAATTGATGACAACACTAATATGGCGGGTGTATTCCTTAAATGTATTTTTGTACACGCATGTGAATCTTATTGACATACATTGAAAGTTCAGGGTCAAATGTCCCCATTTTTGAATGAAAAGCACTTGCGAAAATAAATACATTAAACAAATACTGATGATCATGTAATGAAAAGCTTTACTACTTTACGATGGTTCTTTACCACTGTTCAAAGCTTCAGGGTTTTCCTTATAGTTTTTCGGATCGTTTTGTCCACCCCCTGAAAAGATAAACTCTAAAATAAATTGGAAATACATTCTATACGTTGTTGATGTGGTAAAATCATCAACAAAACAAAACAGCTGCATTTCGTTAAAATCAATTGTCTTTTGCAAGTGACCCCCACCCCAAACTTGAACGATATTTTATATATACAACAGAGTGTTTTCTCAGGGTGATGCCAAAAGTTTTGGATGACAGTGTACGTTTCAAAAACATGAACAAGGATATCTTTTGAAAAAGTTGGCTTTACCACACACGCACACACACATTTACATAATCACCGAGTGTGGGAGACTGTTTGATACACATCTTATTTGCCATCTTGACATCGATTTTTTTTTTTTAATACTTATTTTTCTTGGCAGCAACCAAACTAATGGCACATGATCACCCTCATTCTTTTTATCTCGGCCCTCGGCACTGTCAGCTCGAGCTTAAACATTCCGCTGCTTTGGGATATCTGGTTCAACGCAGAGGTTAGAAATGATCACTGGGACGTGAGGCGAAGGCTGTAAAAGTGATAGAATCTCCAAGCAAAAAGTGGCGCATGCCTAATTACAACGAAAAAGTACCCATGATCTGATCTTACCTTTTCCAGGCTATTTAATCTGTTTCCTGCACACCCCCCCTGCACCCTACCCCCACCCCCCACCCCAGATAGCAGACTACTTATAACACTGAACCATTTATAAATGACCTTAAGCACAATTACTTTACTTGGTTGTTTTAATATGCGTAACATTTTGGGATGATGAAAAGGAAACGTGAAGTGAAACTTCTATTTAGAGGCTGAGCATTGTTAGATGTACAGTACTTTGTGAAAAGTCTAAGACCATCACTAGTTTTGTTGATGGAAGGACCTTTTCCCAGGAATCATCTATGACATCATATCAATTTGAAGTTACTTTTAGCGGAGGAAACACTGGGGAGTTTTGCCCTGGTTGATGCAAGGACACTTAGTCGAGTTTTCTCCCAAGGTAAATCCAACAACCTGCCTTTTAGATCCAATCCCCACATCACTTTTAAAGACATTTTATGGATTCTTTGAGGAACCGATTTTGAATATCATCAATTGCTCTCTTTAGACGGGTGTATTCCTTGTCGCCTTTCAAAGCCTCTTCTCAAGAAGAGCAGCTTGGACCCCAGCGTTTTTAATAATTACAGACCTGTATCCAATTTACCATTTTTAAGTAAGATTTTAGAGAAACTAGTTTTTCTCCAATTAAATATTTGTTTTTACATACAAATAATATTTTCTAGAAATACCAGTCTGGTTTTAGGATGAACCGTAGTACAGAGACAGCTCTTTTAAGGATTTTAAATTATGCCAGGCGTAATGCAAGCATGAAAAAACTAACAGTATTGGTGTTACTGGATTTAAGCACTGCATTTGACACAGTAGATCACCACATTTTATGAAACAGACTTAAAAACCTGGTCCATTTTGAATTTTGGAAACTTGTTCCTCCAGAGTCCATGAAATGAAATGTGGGGTTCCTCAGGGCTCGATTTTAGGCCCAATACTTTTTAATCTTTACATGCTTCCTCTTGGGGATGTCATCAAGTGGCGCGGCGTCAGCTTCCACAGCTATGCTGATGAGACACAGTTGTATATTGCTGTGTATCCTGAAAACACAGGGCAACTGACACACAAATACAAGGTAATAACCTTGTATTTATATTAAGTCATCAAATTCCGACAGCTCAATCAGGACAAAACTGAGGTTTTAGTGATTGGCCCTGAAGATGAAACTTTTACCCAAACTACAGTATCTTAAACCCTCACAATGTGTGAAGAACTTGTGCATTGACTCACTCGTCTTGACTACATTTACAATAATGTCAGATTTCCAACTAATATTGAGTCCGCAGTATTCTGCGTGAAATGTCTGTAATTCTAAATTATAGATGGCCAAAGTTTGTGAAAATTCTCAAAATCTTGCTGGAAATCTACTTTTTAATCACATCTGGAGTTCTGTATTAAACATTTAGACCTACACTATCTATACAGAGATCCACATAACTGTACAGTATACGGCATTTTTAAAGGTTACTTTCGATAGCCATGCAATACGGAGGTCTCATATATAGGGATACAGTTCCCACCCGGAGTTTGTAGGATGGATGGCCTTTCTGGGCCTGTTTGACTGGAAACAGGTGTGTGTCATCTGAAGATGAAGGCTTCACCGATAAACATTATTGGGGTACATTTGCAGCCTGTCACAACACTGGCTGAGCTGGAGCAGCCCCCCCGTCCATCCATCACCGACACCAGAGGGGAGGATGCGTGGTGATTTCCATTTGCCGCTGCTGGGTTGTTCGCCCATCAGTCACCCTGGGGATGCTGGGATCCGTGCACATTCGGCACAGGCACCTGCCCGCCTCTGCTAGACCGCAACCACCTTTGGCCGACGGTTAAGGAAATGCTCCAGTGCACTTGAAAAATGTCGTATCTCTCTTTTCACGCAAATCCATTGCACACAACACTGCGTTCCAGTGCACACGCTTGAGAGATAATTCAAAGTAGGTCTTCACAATTTTCTTTAATGTTATTTTGGGGTTCATTGATCAACATATAGCCATCAATGAGACTTTCACTCAGGACATACAATCGTAAGACACAATTTTATCTAGTAAATACATGCCAACACAGTATAGCACCACCAACTTGTAAGTAGGTAGAAAAACAACAAAAACAAAACAGCGGTAGAAGGCACCCCTGACACATAAATGCATTTTCTTGTTGAAATATTCTTTTGCAAAACAATGTCAATGCTGCAGGTGAATCAGAACAAATATTTACACCAGTCAATGTTGTCATTTACAATCAGAAACAATCTTTCGCAGCTGCTAACCCAGTTCTCACATCACAAAGAAATGCCACGCATGCACGTTTTGCCTGCAGTATTTTCATCTGCCACGTTTACTGCAACAAGAAAGCCTTTGGTGAATTCATAATGCCCGCAGTTTGATTTAGAAAGTCAAACAATCGAAATAAATGAACAAAGATATCCTAAATATTTCAATGCGTGTATAAGGAGAGTTTTCTATAGTAAGAAAAAGCGAATCCATTAAACAAAGACAATCGGATACTGGTGAGATGTTTTTTTTTTGTTTTTTTTAAACAAAAATACAATGCAATAGTTTTATATGAACAACTATACAGAAATTGAGTCAGCCAAATGGATGTATATATGCAAATAGTGAGACGGTATAGACATTTACCTCTACAAATATACATGTATTCTGTATTACGCTGTAGGTAAATTAGATAACAGCTTTACAAAAATACGAAATACCGCACCTTGAAAAACGTGATTTTATATGGGCAATTAACTTTTGCAGCTAACTTCTTTTCTTTTTCAAATTTCTATTCACCTGCAGATGCGAACTAAAACCTAACTCCGTAAATACTGTCTGTGCTAGAATTAATACATGCACACGGTTGCGGCGAGACAATTACAGATGATTGGGTGAAAGGAGGGGTCCACTCTTGAAAGACGATCACTCAATCAAAAAGGGGTTCATTCAATTACTTTATACGTTGATCACGCATACATGAAGCGCTTCCCCCTATAATGCCTTATAAAGGGATAAAGAGTCTTTAAAAAGGAACCGTTTGTGTTACTCTGAGGCCGGCTCACGAGTCAAGTTATTTGCTTGATAGTCTTCAACTCCAGGCTCAGTGATGGAACACTACTTTCTGTCACACGATTCCAGACCACCTTTACCTGTGTGAAGCTTCCAAGAGCCAGCCAAGTCATGTGCTTCAATGTTGGCGTTAATACGGTTTTACTGCCCGCTCTTCCTTCAGGACAGAAAAATTCAGCTGTCCACGTGTTGGGTGAAGCGGTGCTGAAAGAGAAATAAGAAATCAGCGCAAATCGAAAATTCAAAACAAATGTTCTTTGAGGATGTAAAATGGAAGACAGACCGAAGTCTGACTCCACGCTGGGTGCACATTAAAATAACTGTCAAGGAGAAACACGCAGCAATCGAAAGAGACAGAGTGAGCCAGGGAGGCATGTTGTGTGTGTGTGTGTGTGTGTGTGTGTGTGTGTGTGTGTGTGTGTGTGTGTGTGCGTGTGTGTGTGTGTGTGTGTTTTATCTTCACCACAGGTGGGGCCCGGCCAGGTGAGTGGGGACTGACAGCGTCCATTCACCCCATCACAGCGCACCCCGTTGGAACACTGGCAAGACAGAGAGCAGTCTGGGCCAAATCGGTCCCCACTGCACTCTGAGAACAACAAGGGAAGACGATTGAGGAAATCTTTATTTTCTAAATGCCGGCTCTGTTTTGATCAGTCGATTTACCTTTTTCACACCTCTGTCCAGTCCTTCCTGGAGGACAGAGGCAACGTCCGGTAGATGGGTCACATGAGCCACCTGAACAGTCACATGACCTTTCACACTTCTGGCCAAACTTGCCAGCTTCACATCCTGAGAAGCAAAAAAAAAAAAAAAAAAACCAAAAACAATCGTTATTTCTTCAGAGAGAATGACCCTGCTCAGAGATATACGCAGCTGTTAGTCAACGTGTCCATTCAAAATGTTACCAATTTATTTGGAAAACTTCACCTCAAAAAACAAAATGAAACTTTGGAGCCTCCACCATTCTCATGTATACTGTCATGCAAGGCATCATGCTTACCATCCCGCCTGACCGCGACATCCCTCTGCACATTTAGCTTTTTCTTTAGCTTTTGTAGCGTTTTGTGACGCCTGTTCCAAACAATATGAGCCAGAAGGAACATGCAAAAGCAGCGAGACTTCAAATATCATCCTGCACGTCATCACTTATGCCAGTTGTTACTTTTTATTGGTTTACTATGACCAGTGTTGAACTTTTTAAAATTTTGTAAGAATTAAGAATGCCAAAAAGTGAGAAGCATGAAATGCACCTGTGATTCTCCATATCATGACTTCATCATTTGTCAACAAGACTGAGCATTTTTTTTTTAACGTCTTACTGTTAACAATTCTTTTGTTTTAAGTTCATCAGTCAGATTGTTACTAAGCTTTTATGATGGTGACAACAAATTGGAGCTAGACAAGTGTCCCAGAACACATTTCACTCATGACAGTGCAAAAGTAGTAGTCAGTGTAATAGTAGTACCCACAAATGGATCATCATGACAAAGAATTTTTGTTTCTTTTTTAAACAGTTTTTTTTTTTTGTTAACCGGAATGAAATCCACATTTTGTTCCTCAGACACAAACGCACACGTCGAGTCAACGATGTTTCTATGCTGGCTGTCCCTCCTGCCGTGTCTGAAGTGGCCATTTAAATGCTCACACGCCGTGTGAGATCCTTGCAAGCAGGCAGGAGGGCACCAGGATGGTCGAGGAATGCATTAAGCGGCGGGGAAACACATGTCTGTCATCAAATAACCAATCCATCTGCTCTCCCACCTTGCTCCAGGCCTGTCTGTCTCCCCTCAAAAACAACCCCACAGACATTTTGGAACTGTTCTCTTCATGCATGCTCACATCTGTCCATACAGCATTACAAGTGGGGAATCCCAGTGGCCATATACTGGTAATTGTATTTATTCACAGTAAAAAAAAAAAAATTACAATAATTTTTAGATGGATAAAAATTTTGAATCAATTTGAATTTGAGAGTAAGATGACTGCACACACCTTCACACATGTGCGCGCGCGCACACACACACACACACACACACACACACACACACACACACACACTTTTGTTTTGTTATTAATTTTGCAATTAAATTTTTAGACATGTTACTGATACGATCGCGATAGCTGCCATTGTGAATTCTTTAGAATTTTTTTTTTTTTTTTGGTTGGGGGGTATAAGTAGTAATAGCAGTGACTGTTGTTTTGTACACTGTACTTTACAATATGCAGTATA